TGATTGGCCAGCTATCCAGTGCGTTGTGATTGGCCGAATACCTCGAGCGTGTGACGGAAATGTTACGTCCCTTACCATATTGTGATGCCTGCGGCAACCACATGTGACGACTCCGGGCTGGACTCCGCTTCGTCCACGGTGAAAGCCGATCCGGCGATCCACAGCGCAAAGTTGATGTATTTCCTCAGCGACCAGCACGGATCAGCTCTAGGCATGACGAAGCGGATATCGTCCTCTTTTGGAAGGCCAAACAAAGTAGTTTCGCTTTCACAACGAAACACACAGCGCCTTCACGACATGGTGGCAGCGGCAAAACAATACTACCGCGATAATAAAAGTTACGCCTTCTTTCTTTGTATATATCGCTTATATTTAATATCTCTTTGGGTTTGAGACTTTAGTCTTTGCAACTTTAGGGATCTTATTTATGCACGAACAGCTTGTAACACTCCAAAGAGAAAGGAAAATTTGAAATTGCATCATATGACCCCTTTAAAGAACTTAATTCAAAACTGTGATGCTATAAAGGACAATAAATTCTGCACTGAAACCAATTCTATCTGAGAGCCAGTCATTTTGTAACAGTGGTGATGGGCAGAAGCAAAATCAATGGCAGTGCTGGAGCAAAGTGAGTTAAATGAGAAAAACAAGTGAGGCAATTGTGCTGAGCGAGGCAGAACTTGCCAAACATCCCAGTCATTAATTGTGGCTGCTTAACTAGCAATGACATTAAGCCTGTTTTTGGACAAGGCTGTGCCAAGTGTTAATACACAGAACCGAAAGAGCTCCCTTCCTGTGTGGGGGAAATACAAGGTATCTCAATTTTTCAAAACACTCTACAGTTCTGCTTTTACTTGTTCCCTCCAATTAGAGATCATCTAAAAACAGATTGCCAAGAGATTATATATTTACCAGTTATCAGTCATTGAGTGCTGTACTTTGAACTAATGCCTTAGGAATCCAAACCTGGTAGGGCAAATGTTTGAAACTGCAAACATGAATGATTCAAATGTTACAGAATTCCTGTAACATTAACTTGAACCACTGATGTCTCATGACAATGTTACGCAAAAGTTTTGACCACAAACTGGCACACCAATATGGTAACAGAAAGTCAAACAGAAAAATGCCAAAAACTACAATTATAAACTTATATGACTTTCTTTATTCCCTGGTGAGTATCCTAGCAACTCTTTTCAATTTAATGAAAGTGAATGAGAACTGTGCTGAAAAAAAAAAGAGTCTGGATCAGTCGATTCATTGAAAAGATCAGACTCAAATGTTTCAATTTCTTGTCTTAGATCTTTTCAATAAATTAACTGCATTAATCTAATTTTTTTTTAAAAACAGGTTTGGAGAAAAATGAGGGTAAACAAATTATGGCTTTAATTTCTTTTAATTTTGTGTCAACTTTCCCTTTAAGATCACAGTAAATATTGTAATTATGAGTTCGGAGCACAGGAATGACCAATCAATGTCCTATTTACAAGTGGGAAACTAGAAGCTATTTGAAACATGGTGGATACACTGATCTGTTATATAGATAATGTTTGAATAATCTATGTATAATCTATATATAGCGACCAGTGAGTGGACAGCAAGTCTGTAGCAAATCGTGTAGCACTTAACTTTTCAGTTTACTTCACATTTAGAAGTGATACCATGCATAAATAAGAAATCAATTAATATTTTTCATTTTTTTAAATTCAGACATAGTTGTTTGGTTAATTATCACAATTAGAGTTTTTATTTGGTATATTTCTTTTGTTCTGCGTATACTTCCATGTTCCATTTCCAACATGAATGCGTGACGTCCTAATAACAAATGTCTGACTCAGAGGTACAAGTTTCCCAGGTGCAGTTAAAGGCAGAATTGCACAAGTAGTTCCTGTATTTAGTGTCCTATAAAACAACAGAAAATATTTTGCTAAGTACTAATAATCAAGATGACCAAACACTTCAATGTGAATAATAAAGACATTAAATCACCACATGCTCTTGCTTAGATGATACCCCAAAGGAAAATCTCTTCAGATACTCATCTCAATTAAGACAATCATCATGGCATAGATTCTATACTGTGTGCAGGGACAGCACACATTGAAACTCCGTTTAACCTACCATTCAAGTCAAATAATGCATTGGCTTTGAGTCTTTTTTCTCACTACAGCTCAATTTAATAAGTCAGGTAAAAGCACTGAGCTCATTTCATCTCAGTGTTTGACATTATGCAAGAATGGCACGCAACAAACCTGCTGAGGGAATATCAGCTGACCTGCAGTGTTAAAAATAAACATCCGGTTCTCTCAGAAATTCAACAGGACACTATGGCCTTTCCATTGGAGGATAATTCTGACGGGAAAACCTGGAAGGAAATTAGACTTCCTCAAAGGATACTTCGGAAACACCATCGTTGGCTTGCTTTGGAAGTAGGAATATATTGGCAGAATCAGCAAGTTTTCTAATTCTTCATTCAAAATAGTTCACACATACTATACGACAACTCGTGCTCTTCATTTAAATTTGTTCTGAAATGTCTGGTACTTGTTTGGTCTGCTGCACAGTGAGTCAAATGATTTAACAGACAGCACTCTTCTACGAAAAAATGCCTACGGAAACTGGTTTCGGACAGGTTTCCTAGAAACTACAATTTACTGTGACTTTGGCTCTAAGGGCCACTGTTCTGCAGAACATAGTTCCAACAAACATACCTGATTAATGAAGGTCTTTAGGATTACATGACAATTACAAGCAGGTGTGTCTGATTACACCTGTGGTAGTGTCTAATGACTTATAAACAAAGGTGCCCAATCCTATTCCTGGAGATCTACCTTCCTGCAAAGTAGAGCTCCAACCCTAGTCACACGCACCTGAACCAACAATAATTAAAATCTTCAGGAACACTTGATAATTACAGAAAGGTGTGTTTGATCAGGCTTGGCACTGAACTCTGCAGGAATGTAGATCTTCAGAAACAGGAATGGGCACCTTTGACCTAGAACAAATTCAAAAGAGCTTCAAACCAAATATTTAAATAACTACAAGGCTTATTTCTTGGAAATAGGGGAAATTTTATTTATTTGAATTTATTACATTTTCAATCATTCCATTAGATGCCACTTTTATTCTTTTCACCACACACCTAAACAGTGTACATAGGATACATCAGTGCTGCTGCCTTCAAAAAATGATTGACTTCCTACCTCCTGCAAAGCCAGCATTTTTCAGGTTTCAAACACAGTCTCTCTCTCTCTCTCCCTCCCTACCCTGTTATCTGACTAAGCAATGGCCATGTGACTGCAGAGCAGCAGCTGCTTGGGTTTTTCCAGTGCCAGTTAATACACAAGGCATAATCACAGGATTACTGAAGCAGATCAGTTCACAGCAGCACAAGGGCAGTATCTACATGCAGGTGTTATCAATGTCCAGCGAGGAGGGGAAGTCCATCTCAACATTACCACCACTGGCCCTGTGTGTTAGTCTGTGGAATAAATGCACACAAAACTACACATGCAAAACAGATAGAAGCAAAGTTTGAAGAGGCCAGACAGCTGATGCTGAACCGAGACAGTGAGGTTAATGCTGGGATAAGCTTCTAATAGGATGCACTGCTATGACTCTCAGGGAAATAACGCCAATCGGAAAAATTTAACGTGTGTCAGGGAATGCGTCTTATCAGTTCTGGGTGCTCTCGCTTTGTAGCTATGAATATGAACCTTATACACAATCATTTTCATATAAATAATTAGTAATATATTAACTATATAATGAATAGTTTTTGTCTCGTTTTGAGTAAAAATATTTAAATATTGTTAAACCAAGACAATATTACTGGAGAAGCAAAATTGTATAATATTGGTTTCAAAAGAATTGGTTTCAGAGAATAATAATATTTTTTAAATATAATTTTTTATATACTTTATAACTTTTAAAACGTTAAAATTAATTTGCATGTCTTTTTTTAAAGATCTTTATACAATATTTATATTTGGTTTATTTTTCTTACCCCATTAGAATTTTTTTTTACAGTTTTAAGCATTAATCTAAAAAAATGGTGAAGTCGAGCTAAGAAAAATAAACTCAGTTGAAGATGCATTTACTGAACACAAGTCTTATTATCTTATACAATTATGCATATAAGAATTATTTTATATATTTACTAAAAACAAGACAAAAATACTGAACAAAATTATTTTGTGATGCATTAATAAGAGGGGTTCCAAGTGACCAAATTTCCCCAAAACACTACTAAAATACGAGAATGTAACAATAATAAACCCGAGAGCTCATGGAAAATTTTGACCTAAAAGTTTGAAATCACAACTGAGACAGGTCCAAACAAAACATATCTGATGACCCAAATAGCATGTCCTTTGGCCTCGGTGGATGATGGGATATGAGGTAAAAATACAATAACAGCAGTTTAACTAGCTATAATGCTTTTAGGAATTTGTCCTCTTGATGGCCTTATATTTGCTATAAAACATGTCAGATGAGGTGGAATAAAGACAAAAACCTTTTATAGAGACACAAGCCTATAAAGTCACATTCTGCCCACATAAAAACAATAGAAAAACAGACCTTTGCTAATGTTACTTACTTGAAAGTGATTTTCTGTGTTTGATTGTCTGGAATCCCCTTTATTACAGGACATCTAGCAATAAGAGAAAAAGCAAAAGACTATCCATAAGAACAAAGTTGTTGTCTATGTGACATTTGACCCTCTCCATAATGTAGCAACCTTACGTGACAGAGCTATTTTCCAGAACCCACTATAAACCATTGAGACTGTGTCTTTGGCAGCACAGTAAGAAAGTGCATTAAACAAATGAATTAACTTTGTGATTAAAAAAAAAAGAACAGTGTTAAAGAGGGCTGAAAGTTAGAAATGTGTGGCCTGTTTAACAAAAGGCTTGACTCTACTGGATGCTAAGCCAAAATCTTGTTTCATGACCACAGATGGGGGGGAAAAATCAAACAATCAAATCTTTTATAACAGCAATTATCAAAACCATGTTCCATTGAGACCTAGCACAAATATTGAGTACACAATGCTATTCTCCATTAGAATGAAAAGATCTAAAGGGTTTGGTGTCTATGGTAATAAACACTATGTAAATCTCACACGAGCAATGTGAATGCTAGTGACAGCAATAAAGTGTGTCTAGTTAAATAGCGGTCAACACAGATTACTATTGCTGCACAGTTTTAAAATGAACTCATGTACAATGCCTTAATGAACTCTAAGATTCATTTGTGAATCACTGTGTAGCAAAGTCCACACACTCTGGAATTTGTAATATGGCTTCAACTAATGCTTTTCCACGCTTAAACACCAGACTTCAGACGACTGGACTGTGGACCTACTGACACCTCATCAGGTATGACATCATGAGCTTCGTGACTGCTGTGTCTCTAAATAATTGATTGAAAAACATCCAGAGATTAAAAGCAACTCATCATTACAAAAATCAAAAGCCAAAGCCTAAAGGGAACATTTAGTCACTTCTTAATAATGGGTTCATTCACATGTGTTTATATCTAAACTGTCATATAATATAGCCAATACATTTTGTATATATATTAAATATTACCTGAAATATATTAAAGTATTTTTAAAGATTAAAAAATAATGAAGGGGAAGTCCATCTCAACATTACCACCACTGGCCCTGTGTGTTAGTCTGTGGAATAAATGCACACAAAACTACACATGCAAAACAGATAGAAGCAAAGTTTGAAGAGGCCAGACAGCTGATGCTGAACCGAGACAGTGAGGTTAATGCTGGGATAAGCTTCTAATAGGATGCACTGCTATGACTCTCAGGGAAATAACGCCAATCGGAAAAATTTAACGTGTGTCAGGGAATGCGTCTTATCAGTTCTGGGTGCTCTCGCTTTGTAGCTATGAATATGAACCTTATACACAATCATTTTCATATAAATAATTAGTAATATATTAACTATATAATGAATAGTTTTTGTCTCGTTTTGAGTAAAAATATTTAAATATTGTTAAACCAAGACAATATTACTGGAGAAGCAAAATTGTATAATATTGGTTTCAAAAGAATTGGTTTCAGAGAATAATAATATTTTTTAAATATAATTTTTTATATACTTTATAACTTTTAAAACGTTAAAATTAATTTGCATGTCTTTTTTTAAAGATCTTTATACAATATTTATATTTGGTTTATTTTTCTTACCCCATTAGAATTTTTTTTTACAGTTTTAAGCATTAATCTAAAAAAATGGTGAAGTCGAGCTAAGAAAAATAAACTCAGTTGAAGATGCATTTACTGAACACAAGTCTTATTATCTTATACAATTATGCATATAAGAATTATTTTATATATTTACTAAAAACAAGACAAAAATACTGAACAAAATTATTTTGTGATGCATTAATAAGAGGGGTTCCAAGTGACCAAATTTCCCCAAAACACTACTAAAATACGAGAATGTAACAATAATAAACCCGAGAGCTCATGGAAAATTTTGACCTAAAAGTTTGAAATCACAACTGAGACAGGTCCAAACAAAACATATCTGATGACCCAAATAGCATGTCCTTTGGCCTCGGTGGATGATGGGATATGAGGTAAAAATACAATAACAGCAGTTTAACTAGCTATAATGCTTTTAGGAATTTGTCCTCTTGATGGCCTTATATTTGCTATAAAACATGTCAGATGAGGTGGAATAAAGACAAAAACCTTTTATAGAGACACAAGCCTATAAAGTCACATTCTGCCCACATAAAAACAATAGAAAAACAGACCTTTGCTAATGTTACTTACTTGAAAGTGATTTTCTGTGTTTGATTGTCTGGAATCCCCTTTATTACAGGACATCTAGCAATAAGAGAAAAAGCAAAAGACTATCCATAAGAACAAAGTTGTTGTCTATGTGACATTTGACCCTCTCCATAATGTAGCAACCTTACGTGACAGAGCTATTTTCCAGAACCCACTATAAACCATTGAGACTGTGTCTTTGGCAGCACAGTAAGAAAGTGCATTAAACAAATGAATTAACTTTGTGATTAAAAAAAAAAGAACAGTGTTAAAGAGGGCTGAAAGTTAGAAATGTGTGGCCTGTTTAACAAAAGGCTTGACTCTACTGGATGCTAAGCCAAAATCTTGTTTCATGACCACAGATGGGGGGGAAAAATCAAACAATCAAATCTTTTATAACAGCAATTATCAAAACCATGTTCCATTGAGACCTAGCACAAATATTGAGTACACAATGCTATTCTCCATTAGAATGAAAAGATCTAAAGGGTTTGGTGTCTATGGTAATAAACACTATGTAAATCTCACACGAGCAATGTGAATGCTAGTGACAGCAATAAAGTGTGTCTAGTTAAATAGCGGTCAACACAGATTACTATTGCTGCACAGTTTTAAAATGAACTCATGTACAATGCCTTAATGAACTCTAAGATTCATTTGTGAATCACTGTGTAGCAAAGTCCACACACTCTGGAATTTGTAATATGGCTTCAACTAATGCTTTTCCACGCTTAAACACCAGACTTCAGACGACTGGACTGTGGACCTACTGACACCTCATCAGGTATGACATCATGAGCTTCGTGACTGCTGTGTCTCTAAATAATTGATTGAAAAACATCCAGAGATTAAAAGCAACTCATCATTACAAAAATCAAAAGCCAAAGCCTAAAGGGAACATTTAGTCACTTCTTAATAATGGGTTCATTCACATGTGTTTATATCTAAACTGTCATATAGCCAATACATTTTGTATATATATTAAATATTACCTGAAATATATTAAAGTATTTTTAAAGATTAAAAAATAATGAAATTTTTTTTTCATTTGCTAAAAATTATGTCATTACATGAACAATAACCATAAGGCACACCCTTTTGCAAGTAATGTTGCTATTATCATAATGCTACTGCAATAACATAATTAATGAACTATCAAAGGTAGCACTTTAGATTACTATCGTATTTGCAGTTTATTAGTACTTATAAAGCACATATTAATGCATGACCATAATCTAGATCTCTTAACCCTACCCAACACCTAAACATAACTCCTACAACAGCTACCTTACTTACTATCAATAAATAGCAAATTAGGAGTTTATTGAGGGAACACTCATACATAATAGTGAATATGTGTTGAATACGTGTTACTCTATTAAAAAAGTGGAATGCTACCAAAATCCCTTATAATTCACTGCCACAACTCCTTTGTTAATGTAACAATGTAACCAGCACCTAAATATGTTTCAACGGAGTAATAAAGAGTTGGAAAAAAGCAGACAGAGGCAGAAAATACTTTAGACAGGGCACATCGTGAGCGTAGTTCTCAAAGATTTTAAAGACTGAGATGTGCATGAACTTGAAGGCAATGCTGTTGCTTCAGGGATCACATACTGTACCGTGAGTGGTATGCTGGGATCACCTGGAAACAAGAGTGCTCAAGGCACGCTCCTTTGGCAAGCCTACGGCAAAGAAGACACGCAAGTACAGCCATGGAGGTACATCACCCAATAAAAACTGTCTCTTTAAATTTAGAGGGTACACACACAAATACAAAATCTCTGTTTGGGGAGCGATTTAATACCCATTCTTAACTGAGATTTCTGATCCAGGGGTTGCCATCTGCCGAATGAATTTTGGGTATGAATATCTCACAACAATCACTACTTCTGTAAAATCATAATTACAAGTTATTTTTGGTTAGTTTAATGCATAAATTAATGAACTGCCTAATTGTTTTAACTGTTTAAACTGAAATTACTGCCATCCAAGCTATCCCAGATACACAGTACCTAGTTTCAGACTAAATGGCAAGGTTTAACATTTGGCAATCTTGTGCTGTATGTATGCATTTGTAGGCATGTACGTATCCTTCCCAGCTTACTGGGTTTGAAAATATAGGTTTGAAATGTTTAAGGCACAAGTGCGGATCTTACTAAGCATTCAAGTTTATCTTTTTTTTTTTAAATACTAAAATTATAAATCAAGAATGCTAATACATAGGCCTACTGGTTTGCATCTTATTAGACCTTACTATGCAATATGGCACTTAATTCATATATTTCACCAAGTAAAAAAAAAACAGTAAAAAAAACTAGCAAAACACCTGCAGAATTTCTCCATACAGACGAAGGAGCACATTTCGTGGTTCATCTCCAATGCTTGGTTGCTTCTCTGGCAAAGCACAGAGGAACAGTTTGTTGCTGAGACCTCCCCTAGAAGCAAAATATATATGTTAGAAAAGAGAATAACTGCATTCTTACAATGAATCAGGATATATAATTATTTACATCCAGACAGACAACACCACTAAGAAAAATGCTGCCAACATTTGAGCATCATTCTTGCACCAAAATTGACGCCTAAAAATGCTGCAGACATCTATGACACACAAAATGCTGTTTCATTAGGCAGCTCACTACATTTTGAGACACCACTTTTGTATTCTATTTTCCACAATGCTGTGTTAGGCAGATAACGAGGCTTTGAGACACAGTGTCTTGCATTTTAATTTATACTCTATTTATATTACTCATGTAATGCCTGAAAATGCGTTCTATGTAGGCAGCTCACTCGGTTTTGAGACACAGCCATGGTTATACAAATTACTGTAATACAGAGCAATCCTTTATCATCTCATGACCGATGAAAGCAAATTTACAGTACTAAATCATCTTAAGAAAGGAAACACCATTACGCGTTTTCAATTATCGTGTCGCCTATTTCCGAATAACGTTTCTTTTAAGGTGGCATCTCTGACACAAGTAATAAACAGTTCTGTCTCAGTTATTTACATTCCTAGTCACGTAGCAAACCAGAATACCTGATAATGGAGATTTGGAAATCATCCTCATCTATGGACTTCCAGGCTCCGTGAAGGAATTCTTTACACCATAGATACGCCTTATGCTTCGTCTGGTGGTCGGGCTCATCCGGTCGAATAATGTCTTTGCAGTCGTTCCCAATGTCTGGCTGGACTTCGAGGACATTCTCATTTACCAATAAACCCAGAGACATTGAAGGCGAGGAAGAGACGCCATTGATGAATTTAGTCTTCATCTTTGCTGTTGGTTACTGGTATAAACGTAAATAATCAAAATTTGCAGGCAATAAATTAAGTCACAGACTCTCTATGCAGCTTTATAACTATCAGATATTTTAAACGCAGATTTAATGGGACCAATTGACACCGTATAACTGTACGCACTACTGTAATGAAGAACACACTGCTTCAGACGCGTTTATTCGTGCGCAGTATGTTGAAAACGGGTGGGTTTTACCTCACGTCACCCGACCACACCCATTCTGTTCTCTGATTGGACCACAGAGTCACGTCCCCTTCATTCCAAACTCGAGCTACGACATCAGTAAACAATGCCTTAAAGGGGTCATATGATGCGATTTCAATTTTTCCTTTCTCTTTTGAGTGTTACAAGCTCTTGGTGCATAAAGAAGATATGTAAAGTTGCAAAAACTAAATTGTAATGGGTTTTCATGTTTTTGTGTCGTTGCTCCGGCCGGACACGGCATCATCACAGTATGGTGAGGGGCGTAACATTTCCGTCTCATGCTTGAGGTATTCGGCCAATCACAATGCATTGGATAGCTGGCCAATCACAGCTCACCTCGCTTTTTCAGACCGATGAGTTTTGTAAAAATCGACGCGTTTCAGAAGGCGGGGCATAGAGGAGAAACAATAATGTACAGTATGTGGAAAATAATGTGTTTTTTTTACTTTAAACCGCATAAACACATTTCATTACACCAAATACACAAAATAATGTTCTTCTTAGCAGCATCATATGACCCCTTTAAATAAAGATTACTATCACAGCTTTCATGTCTTGTATTTGATAAATGTGGGTCATTTACAGTTTAATTACTTAAAATATAACTTGTTTAAATGTTTTTATGCTGATTAAGCAATTCTATTTCTTTCTCGTAAAATGCTTAAATTATTTTGGTGAGGTATCTATTATATTTGAAATCTGTTTGGTCATATTTACTTTTCCTCTCACTGATTCAAGGAGTTTCTGGGGTCTTGCACATAAAATCGCACAGCCAACATCCCTTTCCTTCTATACACCAACCTAAGCAAGCTAATTTCCCACTTTACGCTACACAAACCATGTGAACATTTAACCACAATTAAGTCGGTTTAACCATAATTAAGTTAGCAAGATTGCTCAAAGTCAAGGTTTTAGCTGCCCTTTTATTTACAATCAAATGGTGGGTGGGACAGTTGTCCACACGTGGTATTCATATGACTAATACGTTCTCGTCAGGGTCATGTGACTACAGAGGACCACTGTCAGACCCAGAGAATCGCACATGGTTTACAATTAGACCTGAATCGTGTGAAACGACACATCTAACCGCAACCGTACAAACCCCCCTTGGTCCTAAACCTAAAAAAAAGAATTTAGGAAAGGAATACTCTTCTGCACTAACAATTAACGGTTTTATTAAGTTGCAATAAGAAAATAGAAAGTAGCCTAGATAGACAGATATGTGGCAATAAGTGGTCAGGTAGGGGAAATTGCCAAAAACTAACAAATCATACAAATCGACTACGCCACCCGGAACATAACCCTATACAAGGGCACACAGGTTCGTTGCCAAAGGCAGGGTGAGCATGGAGACATAGACAAAGTATAAAAATTAAAGGGGTCATGACGCTATTTTAAAGATCATTATTTTGTGTATTTGGTGTAACAGAATATGTTGACATGCTTTAATGTTCAAAAACTCCAAAGAGAAAGGAAAACTGGAAATTGCATCATATGACCCCTTTAAGCCATTTATTTATACACAAATGAAACATTAGTTTAACACTTTTTTTTTTTAATATACACAATCTTAATCCAATCAGATACACAAATCTACCAGTTACAGAAATGACCAGTAGGAGAGAAATGGCCAAGGGGGTCCTTTTGGATTTTCACCTCACACAGTTGTGAAAGCAATGCAATTGTTAAGCACCGCACTCCATGTGGACACGCTAAAAGACTGCAACCCCCGCTTTTATAAAAAAAATAAAAATTATCTACTCCTAAATGACAACATGGTTAACTGGTACAAACTTCAAGACACGTTCAAACATACAAAACTCACTTTCATACCACAACAGAACAATCTACTCCAAAAGGAGTCCACATACACAGATTCGACAACTACTTGTACAAAGAGAGAAAAAAAAAAAAAGAAAAGGGGATCAGTCGTCTGCACCAAGTGGAGGAACAAAATGGCAGACCAAGGCCAAATCTTACTCGTCTCCCTGCTAACTCACACGTTAATGAATGGCTGCTCATGGATGAATAAAAGAAAACGCATACAAACCAAGTTAACCAAAATAAGACCAAGACAGACAAAGTTAAAACAGTCACCCAACAAACACTAAAAACAAAGCAGCACTGCAGTCACATCACTGATGTACACTAGTCTCCAACAAAGTTATTGGAAACCCCTGGATGTGCAGTTACACCTGCGGAATAAAAAAAAAAACAAAGATCATCTACAATATTACACATGACAAGCTCCCATCATACATACCGAGAGAGATTTACCATGTAGCAAAATGCACCACGGCCACTAGCATGCTGAGGACCAAAAGACGACAACAAATAATGCCTCTCCTTATATAAACAAAACAATCCTTTTTATAACTAGGAGACTAACCTGAAAAAAGCTTAACTGCTAAAACACAACAACAGGAGGATGCACCAAGCCCTATCCCTTGTTCATAATGACATACTTCCACAAAGATCTAGTACCAAGGATGATGCATCCTGAGTAATCAAATCCTTCCCTTTTTATATTATCAATGCCAACACTGATAGGTTCATAGGATTTAAACCATGTTAACCAATCACAAAGGAGTAGGGACACTGATAGGTTCACAGGCTGGCATGACATCAGCCAATCATACCTGGGCTATACCTTACCCGGCTACACACGAAACAGGTGCAATTTGTGTCCCTGATGTGTAAAAATAATTTATTTATTTGTCATTTTTCATCATCCCCTTGCAATGTTATATATATATATATATATCCCTTTTTATATTATCAATGCCAACACTGATAGGTTCATAGGATTTAAACCATGTTAACCAATCACAAAGGAGTAGGGACACTGATAGGTTCACAGGCTGGCATGACATCAGCCAATCATACCTGGGCTATACCTTACCCGGCTACACACGAAACAGGTGCAATTTGTGTCCCTGATGTGTAAAAATAATTTATTTATTTGTCATTTTTCATCATCCCCTTGCAATGTTATATATATATATATATATCACATGTATTTTTAATAAAAATTAAACATTGTTTTTTGGATTTTTTTTAAGGGGAGACACTGCAGGCAAAAACACTGTTTTTTTCATGCACCTGTCAAGTTTGAGATTTTGGGCTTTTTGGTTTTTCATAAAGTCTTTTTTCAGACTAGTGGAAAGAAAACATCCAAAATACACTGTTAAGTGTTTCTTTTATAGCACTTTTATCTATTTGTGTCAATAGATTTCAATTACAATACATATTTTTAAAGGCCGTTTTCTCAAAATGAGTTTTTTCTCCTACACTGAGCCATAAATCTCCACTTCAGTAGCACTTACACACACCAAACTTTACATTTTTATTCCTGTCTATATTCTGAATGTTTTTACAGAGGGATTTGTTCATATATAATTT